GCCGCGCTGAAGGCAGGTCGGAGTTGCTTTACAGATAGCACAAGCGTTTGTTTAGTCTAGAACGTGACAGGACAGAGTTCCAGGGCGACATCTGGAAGCAGCACCTGGTTTCGGTCAAAGAGCAGATGCTCAGACACAAGTGAAGGCAAGACCTTGAGTTGATGTTATAGTGGTGTTTCGTCATCTAGTTCCTCATGAGTAGGAATGGCCAGAGTTCCAATACCAAAGAGATCAGAACCTTGAGTTAGGTGATGAAACCAGGGTGGTGCATGTAGCGAGGGCCCAAGGTTTGTGAGTCCTTGACCGCTGAAACAAACATTCTCTTCAGCTTGTCTCCAGTCCTTGTTTTTATAGATTCCTTCATATTCTTTGTGATGCAGAATCTCTTCAGATTGTAAGGTGCCAGTGGAGCAGACGTATGTGGGGGCTGTCATTGGCAAAAAGGGCCAAAGACTTGGGTTTCGGTCTGTCCCATTTTGAATCACACAGTCTTCCTGGCATTTCTGAGAAATTGCTCAGGTAGCACCTTGAAACTGCTCGAGATGCGGTGCAACGTTCAGCTGCTTGGTGGAACTTCAACCAAAGGGGTACTCTCACTGGACGAGTCGAAATCGTCCTGCATTTAGCTTGTCAGGATGGACTTCAATCGGGCTGCTGACGAGCAGGGCTTCCAAAAGCTTCGAATCGCCGGTGACAGGAGGGCTGTGAAGGATGCCAAGGCCGTGCTTGTGTTTCTGACCAGGTTGCCATGTTTTCCCCTGTTGGGAACCTGCTAGCGATGGCATCCAACCTACTAGCGATGGCCTTCAACCTACTAGCGATGGCTTCCAACCTAGAAGCGATGGCCTTGAAGAAGCAATGGCCTCCACATATAAATCTAGTACTGAGGGAGCGAAGATGCAGTGAACCGGCGGCAAAACGTATCGGTCGATAGGCTGGCGTTTGCGCGATCATCAGCGGATGTGGCGGTGGGGAACTCAAACATGTTTCGCAGAGTGACAGTAGTCTGCAGCAGAAGTGTACTTTTGGAGATCCTTGTCATGTGAGAATTCTGCGAATATGGCTCGTTTGGCCTACTTTGCAAACTGTTTGTGTTTGGACTTGGACCGATGAAATTAAATGGTCACCATCATCAGAGTGCAACATTTCATTGTATCATCGTAAGAGAATCTCCTGTACGGCATGCACGATGTATTATATATACACTATATGATATGTGTATATATATACATATACATAACTGGTACTGCACTCCTTTTGATGAACACACACACATATATATATATATATGATACTCCTTTTATATCATATATTATATATGTATATACACAGTACTCCTTTTGTGCAATTCTGGTGTAGAGAACGAAGTGACAGAATGAACTGAGCATCACAGGCGACCCTGCTGTCATCACGAACAGTCGCTTGCGACATCGCTGGAGCCCCGAGTTTTTTTTTTTTTCTGTGAGCGCCGAGCAACTGTGAGCAAGTGTGTGGATACTGTGATACTTTAGTCACCAAAAGCATTCAGAGTCTCATAGAGGTGTCCAAGATGAATTGGTTCACGCTCAGTTTGGAGCCAGAGTTGAACTGGCAGCTGAGCGTCAGTGTAGATCTCTAACCCTATTATGCATTCGTAATGGTGAAGGTTGGGATGCGCAATGTTGAAAAGCATGCAATCCTTCAAATTGCTTGAGGTGACGACTCAGCTGACACAGCCTACTCAGACTCAGGCAGGAGAGACCCCTTGTAGGCGAAACAGGGGCCTTATGGAGTTTGCAGAAGTGGGCCCTCTTTAATTACTTGTAGCTTCGTTCGTAGCTTCTAGTTACAGTTGGGAAGCTTGACACTTTGATTCGGATGTGCCCACTTGGCAGACTTTGGCGGGAGAAGTGAATGGAGATCTTCAGCAGACCGTCCTGCTTCGGAATGGCAGAGCAAAAGGTCCGCGTGGACAAGCAGGAGCCAGTGGAACATTCATTATGCTCCTTATGCCCCTTGGAGCTCATTCAGGTGCATCTCGCTGCATTTCTCCCTTGAAACGAACCTGGCCTTTGGACACTTAACAGCTCCGAAAGCTGTTGCCAACCCTCTTTTATTGCTTGCTTGGTTTTGTGAGTTTCCTTCTGAAGGCAGCACAAATGATTGAAGGGTCAAAAACTCCTTTCATCTGGTCAACCTCTATATGATGTTGTCAGATGAATGCAGTCAGGCACCGACTAAGCTGTTGCGAGGGGCATTGGCTGCTTTGGTTGGAAGGCCTGTATGGAAAAGCAACACGGTATAGAGTACAGTGGTCCGAAATGGATAGACAAGCAGCATGCTTCGATTGAACATCAGTTGTTATTATATATATATATATATTTTTAAATTTAGGCAAATGCGGCGGAAAGTCTATAGTTCTTTCCATTCCCTGTTGGAATGGATAAAGACAAAGAATGACAGCTGCTCGCAACGTCAATGCATTCCAGCAGGGTTGTGAATTTGCTCGGAAGGTGGTATCATGATGAAAACTGCTATGAGGCGTGTCCCGAGGAGGTTCTGGCAGAAGGTAGCACGAAAGGTATGCATCACCCCCCCAGGCCCCATTCCTGAGCTTCAAATTCAAAGCTGTGAAAGCCGACCAAGCTGACCTCAACCGGGCGAGTTCCTCCAGACTCATTTGCGCTCGACAAGGCTCCTTCAAAAGGAGGCCACGGGAAGGAAGGTCGGAGCTGTCCGGTCCATGGCGGCTCAGGTGTGGATGGATGGCCGTGGCCGTGACTGTGGTTTGACTTGCGCTTCATGGCATCAATCTGAGCTTCTTGAAGATGAGAATCGATAGCTTGCGAGAGAGGGAATACTAGGGAATATCACCGGGATCAGTCCGATCAGTCTCGCTGGAACAACTGAGGAGCATCGCCGCGCAGGGTGAGACTGTGACCTGGACTTTAATGCAACCCAGTGAGATAACACACTGGCACTTGGTTGATGTATATTCAAGAATACCTTCACACAGAGGCAAAGTTGACAGGCTTTCGCATTGCTTGATTGAGGTTGGTGCATCGAGCGTTCCCCGCCGCAGTATTTACTACGAAGGTGGCTCGACTTTTTGGAAGGAAAGCTCGTTTGTGTTGGACGCTGGTCCAAAGCTACAAGAAAGAGATTATATATGGTTGATTTTGTGCTGTTTCTAGATTCTAGAGGTTCGGACATTTTCCTTGGAGAGCGATGCCGGTACTACTTGAATGTGATCTCCGAGAAGACCGTCACATGGGCCCTTTGGATTTAGCTTCCATTTTGGTTGGACTTGGACATTGTCATTTACTGTACACATTTTTGTCCTCAATCGACACAACATACTCGTCGAATTCACATTCCCTTTGGATTGCCCTTTGGATATAGTCCTAGACCGGAAACGAGCTTGTGGAGGCTTCTAGATGTGTTGATGCTCTTGTTGCCTAGGTGGATGAATCAAATCCCAGGATCATCCTCCGCTGGCTCGAGCACTCAGCGCCCATTTTCCTTGATACTCATGTCGCTCCAAAGGATCCACTGACTTCCCAGGTCCAAAGGTCGTGAGGGCACAGCGACTCGAGGTCCGAGTTCTCGAGACTGAGGTTTCCTAGTTGCGGTCTGCTGTTTTTTGGGGTCTGCAACTGAAGAGTTGGAAACTAGCTGGGACATCAGATTTGCTGGAGCTTTGATGTACACAAAGATCAGTCCGGGAGAAAGGAAATCATTCCCAACTTTTTGTACTTCCTCTTGAACAATAACATCATATCTTTGCTCAACACAGTGGGTGCTCAGATGCGAGGATCACGGGGGTCTCTGTTTGCAGGAAAGTCTTCGAAGAGCTACGGGGGCTATTTCCAGAGGTCCAAGGAGAGGGATTTGGCACTTTTTGGTCACCGAGAGGTTGTAGTGGAGTTGGACACCGGCAGCACCTTCAAAGAGTTGGATCAAACTTGGCCATCTGGGGTGTTACAGCTATACCGGTGGACCCTCAAGTAGGACTGCTACCACCAACCCAACTAGGGCCCTAGGGCCCTTCCTCACAGTCTACCGAAGAGAAACTTCTGCGTGGGATGGAGGAGAACTTCAAGCTCGCGGCCCATGTGACTCGGACAAGACTTCTGGAGTGCAACATCAAAGCTCTTCCGGCCAAACACGTCGAGCCACAAGATGAGGGGTATTTTCAAGACACGACACTTCTTGACGCAGATGAAACGACTCGCGTATGGAGTGCAAAGGTCCCCAAGAGTCATGACCACTTAGAGGCCCCCAAGAGTCGTAACCCCCTCAAGGACTATCCCGCCATTCGCCATTGAGAGTTGGCAGTGAATTTGAAGGCTTTCAGGATGCAAACAGCGACATGGGTATGGTTGCCGTTTGCTCTCCGGCAAAAGATGAAAGCCCATGAATTCAATAGATGCTTGCACTGGCACTGACTAGCTGCCACTTTGAGGTTTCATGTGCACAGTGTGTTTAATTCAAAAATTTGTTTGGTTTATGCATTGTGATTTATTGTGATTTATATAGACATTTATTTATGTAAGAGAGCTTAAACAAATGCACATGACTGTGTGATGCTCTCACCATGTTATTTCCAGCTAAGTCGTGTCGTCAAGACTCCCACGGCTATTGACAGCCAGATGCATTACTTAAATCATCTCTAGATGGAACTTGCCGAGAGAAATAGTCGGCGATTCCAGGATTCGATCGACACAGCGTAGCCGCATAGCAGAGTCAAAGGTCTGGCGGGACGTTTGTTTTGTCATTGCCTGAGAGCCTTGGCTCTGCTGTCCAATCATGAGAGACTGAATTTATGGTTTCTGGCTGCTCAAATGCAGTAGTGCTTCACACCGCAGTTAGAATGACAAAGGATGAGGCGCAAGCTCCCAAGATTGTCAGAAGCAAACACTTGCACTTTTTAATCTTGTCAGAAGCATACACTTGCACTTTTCAATCTTCAGCATGCATTTTAACAGACCCCTCCAATGGCAGCTCTTGATGACCATCAATGGGATTGGTTGCTAATTACTCCGTTGATCCGCATGCATGGACGAGGGTTGAAGGCGCTTGATGGAGTCAACTCCTCACGGTGCCAGAGGAGCTCTAGCTCTCTGTTTGTCCTCTGTTTGTCCCGTTGACACACATCACAAGGCTTTCATCAGATAGAGGCCATGTTTCTGAGGCTTTGCCTGCCTGGGGATGAAATTCCCCTGAACGGCCTGGAGCCAGGCAGGCGTGGCGGAGGAGCATCTCGGGCAAAAGTGGATCGAATTGGGAAAGCTGTGCAGCTTTGGGCGTTGGAGTCCCTTCCACAGTGGCAACAACCATGAGAGTGTTTGAGCCAGGCAGCGGAGTTGCTGTTGATTCAGATAGCGGACGCGCTTTTGCAACGACAGCTGGTGTGCTGAGGCTCCTTGATTTGCTTGGTGAGTGTCTTTTGGAAGAACAATCACATCACAAGACTTCTGCTCTCAGGACTGAGGATGAAGTCAGAGTGGAAAACTTGAGGAAACGCTATGTCCCGCGGCAGGCCTGGCGTGCAGGGAATTGAATCCTCGCTGAGCCAGTCCGGGTTCTGTGCTAGGGCGATTGTGTGGTTGGCATTGTCATGGGGCGGAACGCAGACTTCTTCAAGGTGCTGCCCGGTTTACTAAGTGAGTTCCACAAATCCCTGACACTGTCAAAAAGATGTGGCCCTTTGATTTGTCAGGTGGATATACGTGCACCTTCTCCGGCTTTCCTGCCGACACTGGCGTGCAATTCTTATATCGGTTATTTAGGACGTATTGACTGCTTGAGCACACTGAATCACACTGCAGGTGGAATGGCGCAACCAAAAGAAATCGACCTGTCCTGGAGATGCTCAGTGCAAATCAAGGGACTTTTGTTTGTGCACCTCAAAGCATAAAGATGTAGAGCCAACCTATTCTTTGAGGATTGGGACATTGGTGTATGCACGAGTCGAGGCCAGATTAGACCAAGAAGCCATTACAATCTCCTCTGTGGCCCAGGAAGGGGCACCACTTCTGTGAAACATTGCAGGCTGCGCATCCAGACCTTGACACCGAGCTTTCTTGCGTGGACCCTGACACGAAGAAGTGTGGAACTCAGAAACGCCCTCGACCTGGATTGATGCTTCATCAAGACTCATCTCCTTGTCATGGAGCTGAAACCTCTTCGTTGATATCTCCCATGGAAGGTTGTGTGCCAGAACACACACACACACACATACCGATACCATGCCGAGATAGCTTCATAGCCCTCTATGTTAGCTGCAGGTCATGGAACACTGGGGAGGCAGCTGTTAGCCGGGGGCCGGTGGGATTTGTTTTGATTGACATGTACATGGACACTTGTGCCGTGAATGTGATCAGGACTTGCCAAAGGCAAATGGAGATACTCTGATACGCAAGTTCCCTTTCTTGAAGGACATTTAGTATATAGGACATGATCCAGTCGAAGACTCATAGGGGACATAAACTGTGTTCTTCTGCAAAGGCAATGTGCCATGCTGACTGCTGGGCTTAAGCTGAAGTGCCTTTGACGCTATTGTGCTGCAAACATAGTGCAGGGATTTTGTATTGACAATCAATACAAACAATGGCAACAATGCAAGAGTTTAAGAGAAGCACTGAAGCTATTTCGGAGTTTCTTTTATATAGATGGGTAATGCTAGTGTTCTAGTCAGCCTCTTGCTTTAAGGGTTTGTAAATTGATCAGAAACACCTCGGTGAAGCGAGCCATGAGGTGTGGCCATGTGGCTTCTGTCCGTCTGCCGAAAACCTTTAGTACCAGTTGCAATTCTCCTGGTGGTTTTCTTTTTGAACACCCATTTCGTTTACCCGGAAGGCCCTCAGAATCTTAGTAGCCTTGAGTCAATCGCAGATCTATTAGTGCCTGATGCAGTCGATGTGAACAAAAGCATGGGAGCTTGTGCCATTTTTATATTTGTGGAGATTTTCCTTCTGTTTTGTGGGCTTCACTTATTGAAAGACAACCACAGCTTCAGCTCACGTCGATTCGGAAGAAGCCTATTGTTAGTTGCGATCTTCTACTTTGCTGGGTTTCTGAGTCTTCGGCATGGACTGCGGAGTCTCAAGTTTAGTGTTTTTTGGGCTTCGGATTGTTCAGAATACACAGCTGCAGAAAGCTTGCGACTCGCACATTTTGATGCAGACTTGAAGTGGGCGGAGGAGCATTTAGTGCCGAAATCCAATGCACCGGGTGACACGTGCAAGATGTTCATCGCTATCAATGCTGTCCCCAACCGAACAGAGCGGTATCTTTCGCAGACCTTGGGCTCCCTGCTGCGGAGCCTTTCCCCTGAAGAGGTTGAAGGCCTGCGAATTGAGATCTTGTCTGATAGTGCTTCAGAAGAGTTGCACTCGATCTCCATGCACTCGCTAGAGCCCTTGGTCCATGTGGTGTATAATCCAGTGGGCCGGCAGACGCCTCCTGCCAAGTCCACGGAAAGCTGGAGACAGGGCTCGGTTCTGCACTACCTTCATGCTATGGAACGCTGCTTCGCAAGGGTGGCTGAGCATTGCTTGGTCCTAGACGACGACACACTGGCATCTGAGGGCTGGTTGTCAGAGGCATTGAAAGATATAAGGCAGTTGGAATCTGGAGAGTATGGAGTAGAAGGAAAGCGATGGATGATTCTAAAGCTTTTCCAACCAGTTTGGGGGAACCAGCGGCAAAGTTGGAATGGAGACAATGTGCTTCTCTTGATGGCTATGGGATTATTTGGAGCAATTCCGTGTAGCTTGATGGGATGGCTGGTCCACTCTCAGTGTAGCTTGACTCCTTCTTATGGCTTCTGGGGCCTTGTGGGGTTCCTTGCGTCCCTCTATGCTTGTTGGGTTGCTGGGAAGGTGAACCTGGAGTGGATGATTGGAGATGCAGCAGTACATCCGCATGGAACTTGCCACATGGCACAGGCCAACCTCTTTCATCGTGAACGGGCTCAGTCAGCTGGATTCTTAGAGCACTTAAAGAATCACTCGATTCATGGGCCCTTCATTGATCTCTCAATCTGCGAATTCTTCCTTGGCAAGGGCCCCATGTGGACCACCTCACCAAGCCTCTTTCAGCATGGTGGCCTCAAGACCAGCCTACCAAATAAGGTAGGTACCAGAACCTGCCGGATTCGGATCTTTCATGAAGGTCTGTTTCGGACGCGAGTGGAACAAAGACGTGTGTGGTACTCTTTGAAGCTTTTTTGGAGAAACACACGCCGAGCAATTTGTGTCTCTTCGGTCTGTTTGTTTCCGGTCAACATCCTTCGACTCTTAGCTGTCACAACGCCACAGCTGGCGCAGGTTCTGCTTGGGGAGCTGAAAGGCGGCTTAAGCTTTGAGGCGCACTCCTTAAGCTTTGCATCCCTGGAATCGCCTCATAAAGGATCCTTGTAAGACTTCACTTGTGAGGTGGCTCTTAGTGCTGCGCAAAGGCTTCTAGGCGCCCAGGGTCAATGGAGATATCAAAGCTCTTCACGTGCTCTGCGAATCTTGACATTTGCGACAGATGTAGATTGCTTCATCCTTGATCGGCTTGGCAAGGACTCGAGATTCCATGGTGGGTTCGCAATTCCAGGGCAGTTATCCAACCAGACGATGTGTTTTTGTAGGTACTACAAAAACTTGATTGTGCGCTGATTTGTAGATCCTGCAGCTTCAAAGCATGACAACAGGGTCGCATTTCGCATGATGAGACTTGAATGAATGTGGGTCAGAAACCGAAAGGTCAAAAATAATTGAGACTTGAATGATCATTGGGGTAAGTTTAGCATTACAATACATGAATGGGTTGTAAGTTATATGATCTTCATTGATGTGCTTACACCAACCAATGCTATTGCAAGGTGTCGTGGCAGTGTTTCATTCAAGATGCTTTATCCAGAATTAAAGCTAGTGGTTAGAAGAGAGGGACTGCAGAACTGGGGGCAGCCATATTTGCCTGTCAGTCAACACCCCGGAGGTCTTTTCGTGTCCAGGTTTTTACCCAGCCCCATTTTCGTGCAGAAGTGTATGCCAACGAGTCAGCAGGAACCCAGTTTTTCACTTGTCAGTGAGGACTTTGCCTATGAGCTGTGCGTGGGTCAGAACGGCCGTGTTTGGCTGTCAGCCCCGACTGCCCGAGAGACGGTGCTGCTGTTGCAGGCCACGGATTCTCCATGACACATTTGAGGCTCCTAGAGCCTTACAGGGCCTTACAGGGCTCCAAAAGGACTCGACCATTGAGAGCAATCACTAGGTGCCTCAAAGCAAGGAATCACAAGTCTTCTCAAAGCGGTGCTCTGAGAGATATTACTTTTTGAGCAAGATGCTCGGCAGGCAATCAGGAGAAGCTTTGGAATGAGCAATGTTCAGATCGAGGCCTGATTTTGGACGTGGTCCATTGACAGTCGGTGTGAGCAGAAGTAGTTTTATACTTTTTTGTATTTTTTTAGTCAGGCGATGGTGGGCAAGATGGTTGGGCTCTTTTCCTGATCCTTCAGAAGAGAGTTGGAGCAAATAGAAGTAGAAGCCATCAGATGCCACGCTGTCTGAGCCTGGTGCGGGTGGGAACAAAAATGGGCCTTGAGGGAGGCAAGAGAGTGTTGCTTGGCTGGATGAATATAGACAAGAAGTCAAACATGTTGGCCTAGCAACTGGAGCATGTCCAAAGTCCAAAGGCTCAAATAGAATAGCACATCAACAACATCAGTCCTTTCCCAGGCAGCCAGCCTCTTTGGCTCATGCATCATCGGTTTCCTGTACCCTTTAGAAGATAGGTAGATTGGTCCATGTGAATGGCAACCTGAGATTTTCGGGCTTTCCAGCCCCAGCAGCTGTCATCGAGGGCCAATTTTTTCTTTTGGACTTTGTAGCCAATTCCCTCGCAGATGTGCATTTTAGCCAACTAGGCCACCAACTTGATTTGAGTTCTCAAAAATAGCTTTGCAATCCCATTCCGAAAGCGATGCAATGGCCAAAAAGAAGAAGAGCCAAAGGTCGCCAGGCGACGGCGAGAGCGGCGAGTCGTTTGGGTTCCCGACGTCGCCCAACGACACGTGTTCACGAGAAATGCTCGCTTCTCGCCCAGGCGATGTCTCGAAAAGCCCCGCGGACGCGACGGACGCGACGGAGCTCAGGGAGACCGAGATTGCGGCATCCAATTCCTGGAAGTCTGCGGAGTCCTCAGAATCAAAGAGAGAGAGAGAGAGAGAACCTTTGGCCGAACTTTTTGGGGATTGCTTTCTCGCTGATTGTGCGAGAAAGCAAGCTTGGTCTTGTATTGCGATCGGTTGGCTGGGAACCTAGCAGGACCTCACCAAAAAGGACAGAGGAACAAAAGGAAGGTGCTTGGACCCCTTTGTATTAAGGCCTCTAGCTGTAGCTTTTCCAAAAAGGACCCAAACACGAGAGTGTCTTCCGTTCTTTGTCTGAGGTTCCTACCCTATTGCAGCGCAGAGGGGGCGAAGCCAACCCGAAGGTCTCGCTGCAAGAGGCTGATTGATATGGTGGATGTGCACGTGTCAATTTCCCGAGTTTTGACAGATCTATGCAGAAGTCGGATGGGTCATTCAGTGTTTGTGGAAGTCGGATGTTTAAGTTTGGAGTTCTGGGTTGTGATAACCATCAGTCTCTGACGCGGAGCCGCGGAGGAACAGCATGTAGGTCGGGGTACGTCTTGATCGATGTGTAACTTGGGAAGTCTCGTCATCCAACAAAGTCAATCGTGTCAACTGGGTCAACTAAGTTCACAAGTAGGTCAACTGGGTCAACAGGGAGACCCTGTTCAACCGGGCCCCCCTGTCCCGCCCACGCAAGTGGTATTTTCAGTCTCAGAGAGTGAAAGGCTGGCTGGAGGTCCCTTTGCTTGCTCGTTTAATCTATTATTCCGTTCAGCCTAAGCCTAACTACATTGGAATAAAGATCCTCGTCAAGAGGTGCTAACTCAAAGTCTTGTGTGCGGTGCATCAGATTGAGTCTCAATGCAGGCCAACACAGAGCGAAAGCTTGTTGCCCTCGCGGACATGCAGAAGGGTTGTATTCCCGGAACATTTTCAACCTTGATGAACATCAACACGTCTCGTTGGCTGTAAGGTGAAATGGTGTTTAAGATTCCACGGCCAACGCCTTACTTGCTTCTGACTTGTGAGTTCTGGGTCAAGAACACAAAGTACAATGAAACCGCAGCATGCTCTGAGGCACTTGTGGTTCACGGCTGCCTGTCTCAATTCACATGAAGCATCATCCTCAGCTTGGCTGTTTGTCGGTCTGCTGCAAGTCTTGGCGTTCAGATTGTTCTGATTCAGGCTGGCCGAGCGGTCCTAAAATGGACCAAAGCTCAGGCTGGCTGTCAGTAGACATGTCATGAAAAGTACGGAAGCACTGAAGCTTATTTTGTGATTGGACATTCAGCTTCACAAGTCTTTCGGTCCCAGGATGATGACGATGTGCTACGCTCAGGGAAACCCATGAGCTTGCAAGACTTTCCATGTTTGTCGAGTCTTTCAACACTTTCTCTTCTTGATCGCCTTGATTGTTCGGTGCTGCTGCGCTGATAAGATTTCTTTGCCCATCATGCACTCACCACCAAACACACACACACATACCAACCCTTGAGCTTCTGAAGATGTGCACATATCTTTTCTAAGGAACATTTCATTGATTGCATATTTCTCCATGCGGTCACGAATCATTCAGCTCGATCACAGTCATCCAATTTCTATGGCAAAACATTTTGCAGGTTGACTGTGTGTCACAACTGCCTCAGTTCAGGCAGAACTGTGCATGCTTGCCATTCTGCTTCTGCTTGAGCGACGAGCAAAGCGCAGCCCTGAACACTTTGATCAGTAGAGTCTCTTCATGCTTGATGTGGTTTGTAAGATGTAGTGCAGGTCATCTCTGTTTTAGATTCTAGAGGATGGTGAATCTGAGCAATGTCCTGTGGAATCGTTGGCAAGCCTGACATGTGGCTTTCTTGCCTTGTTGCAGAGCGAATTCACGTTGGTCCGACTACATCGCTGCGCGGAAACTCAGCTGGGTTTGTGCACCGAGAGCACCGACCGCCAAAGGCTCATGCTGGCAAAATCTCATGATGCATCCAACTGTTTTTGCCGTATACATACTGTGTATATTATATATATAATATATGTCCAAAATTCTCGCAAGCCATTGGCTGCAAGCTTGTGGATGTCTGATCTGTAGACTGGTCTTCACAGCACAGGCTTTGCCTTGGTCGGCTGCTTTGCCTTTGACCTGGACGTAAGGGCTTCAGCTTAGTGGTGTGGCCGCTGCGGGTACTCGGGTTTGGCGCACTGCGCGTGGAGTGACGGGCAAATGCTTTTTGCAAACGAAAGATGACGTCCCATTTCTCAGCCCAAGTCATTTGAAGGCCTGAAGAGCTCTCAGTGCTCGGAGGTGCTTCTCCACTGTGGCATATCGAGGACGGTTGGGGTGACTTAACGTCGGTAAGAATGGCCAGATTGCCGTGAGTTTCCAAGGGACCGTTGGCAAGTTGGCGACAGTAGTGGTTTTCTTGACACATTTTTCTTCGTTAGATCAAGCAGAAGCAGCTTGAAAAAGTCCGGTGCCAAGTTCGAGATTCGTTTGGCATTCAGGGAGTCTCAAGTCTTAAGTTGAGCTGCCACATCCCGATTTGAAGCCGGGTCGTGATCAAATCAAGCAACACTTGAGGTCTATGCCTCCCTGCTGACTTTCGTGAAGGCCATAGTCGTAGTGCTCAACCTAATGACAGCCAAAGATTCTTTTCGCAAACCACCTTTCAGGGCAACGTCTTGGCGGAGCTCAAAGATGCCTGCCCCAGCAGCAAGGAGTTCATTCTGGCTTTCTCGAGCGGTTCTCAGCAGCTAAAAGGCTGAAGCCAAAAGGCTTCCGGCTGCCCTAGTGCATCGCTACTAGTAACAAGTGCATTACTACTAGTAGCAAGGGCATCGCTACTAGTAGCGATGCACATTGCTGCTACTATAACACAATTCTTCTAGGGAGCTCAAAAGGGTGGTTCCTCCTGTGGAGAAACACATTCTCAGCTCGCGGAATTTGGCCAGGTTGGCGCATAGTCGGGCCATGGGAATTCCTTCGGTGGATGGCGATGGCCAGCAGCACAGAAAAGGAACAATGAGAAACTGGTACTGGAATGAGATGAGGGAATGGACCCATTCAGGAATCTCTATGGAATGAGCGGCAAAACTTCCCTCATTCCTTACTAAGCACCAGTCAGACAGAAAACCGGTCTTGATCCAACATTTGGCTTTATGCATTCTCTTCAGGTAGACGCTGGCATCTGGCCATGCTCCCTTTCGCTGACATGTGACCTGTCTTGATTGAAGCAACTGTGATTTTGAGAAATAGTTCTGGTCAATCAGCTTGCAGAAATGCAGGAAGCTTCCAGTCGACTCGTTTCAGTGTGACTTCGCAAGTATTCTCCAAGGTTGAACCACAGCTGCACACCTGAAGTCGATTGGGACATTGTAGAGGCACCTACCAAGGACGCCAAGATTTATATAGAAATTGTGTTGTTATCCAGAAAAGAAGGCCTTGAAGAAACACAGAAAGTATTCCAAACCAAGAGCATCGCAGACCTGGGCATTCAGACGAGGAAGGCTTGTGGATGAAATTCTCTAAAGCTTGCGCCTTGGGAACCCTTGAGGATGGAAGCCGCTATGTCGCTGCTCATACCCTCAGTGAGATCCCGGAAGGTTCTGTTGAGGCCTCAGGCCAACTTCAAAGCTTCTCTATAGACTCTAAGCCCTTCTAGGTGAACACTTCTGCAACGTAAAAAAAAGGGTGTACTGTATGTATGTATAACAGTGCATGCAGAGCGTCTTGGCCTTCCTGAAAAGTGTCTGCAGCCTGAGGAGCGTCTTGTCCAAAGGTTCCCTGCTGCTCTTTATTTATTTCGCCTGAGGAGCTTCGCATCAGCTACAAGCGTGCAGGATCTGCGCAGGCCAGAAAGGATCAGTCTCGACGAACTCGTTGATGTTTTAAACACGCCTTCTGAGTGGCTTTCATCGGACCAATCTTCATCACGCCTTCTGAGTGGCTTTCATCGGATCAATCTTCATCTCCTCCAAGGGTTTCTAGAAGATTTGACTTCTATTCTTGGGACCTTGAATCCTTCATCATCCTCCCATACTTCGAACCTTATCATGTGCCATGCTTGGTCTTTCGATGCGCAAAGCAGGGCTTCTTTGCCACCTATGGCTTCGTTGAAGAGGCTCAAGAGGTGCAGTGCACCGAGCTGAGGCCGAATGCGTGCGGAGCAGACGGGGCGTTGCTCGCGACCGGGGTGGTCGACCGGAGCGGTCTTTGGGTCTTTGGGTTCTGAAAAGACCCGGATTGATCATCAAAGACCCGGATTGAGTGAGAACATCACCCCAGATTTTCGGGTGGTTTTGAGTGAGATCATGGCCATCGTTTTGAACAGGGCTCTCACTAGCTTCAGGCTGGAGCCATGGGATGGACCAGGCAAGGCAGCACGAGTCAAAGAATCGTTCGTTTTGACACCAATTGAAGAGGCAGAGTGTGGGACACCAAAAAAACAGGTGAGTGTGCACGCAACTGG